CAGGAGTGTTCTTTACCACGCTATACTGAGTAATGGAGAAAATAAATCCAAGGAGTCACACTACTGTTAACATAAGTAATTTAGACCCTGAGACACAGTTCAGACTCTTTTTCAAGTAACACCTTAAATCTTTGACTAATCTGCAAACTTGAAAGTGCTAGTAACACCAAAATAATATCTGTACCATTACTACTATCTATGTCCTCCCTAAAATGTTCAGATCACTTCTAGAATGAGGTTTAAAAAACAAAAAATCACCAAAGGCTCCAGATACCTATTACAAATTAAATGCCTTAAAATTTGTATCTACTAGGTGCCAAGAGATCATTGTGAAAGAAATGCCTATTGCTGGCTGAGATGTTCAGGGAAGGTTTACAATGAAGGATGATGCTTTAGTTAAACTGAGAAGGTAGAAAGACACCATACAAAGGGAAAGGAATGTATAAAAAAAAACACATGTAAGCAAAGACAGGAAAAGTAGTAACAAATGCAAGATGTATTTTGAGGCATGTAGGAAGTATTATCAATGAGACTTAGGAAATATAATCAAGGACAAATTGGGATGTGCTGCAGTCTGGCTGGGCACAAATAACTGAGCCACTTTGGTAATGCACACCTGTAATTCCAGCTACTCTAGAGGCTGAGGCAGGAGGATAGCAATTTGAGGTTAGTCTTGGCAACCTAGTGCGAGAGCCTGTCTCAAAATAAAAAAGAAAGGGGCTGGGAACATAGCTCAGTGGTAGAGTGTCCCTGGGTATATCCTCAGTATGGGGATATTATGAGAAGCCAAGTCCATGTCACTTTTTAACAAAATCTTGATGACCTCTGATGTGCAATATTAAAGTAATTTTATTATCCCATTAACTATTCTGATATGAGGTTTGAACAGTAACAATAATACCTGTATGAATAATGAAATTTATCCCAATTAAAACATACTTTAAATAGCCCTTTTATATACTTTCATGTGAACTTTATAGTTACTTTGCTGAGTTCCATCATATTTATTTACTTGGATAGTAGAGGTACTTAGTGCATAAATATGATTTTGGTAATGGAAAGCATCCTAATACTTTTTTTTTAAAGTAATTGTGCAGGGGATGGGGTTATGGCTCAGCGGTAGAGCTCTAACCTTTCACATGCAAAGGCCTGGATTCAATCCTCAGCACCACATAAAAATAAATAAATACACAATTACTATTTTTTTATAATTTTATTGTATCAGTCAACTTTTTTTTAATATTTATTTTTTAGTTTTCGGTGGACACAACATCTTTATTTTTATTTTTATGTGGTGCTGAGGATCGAACCCAGCACCCTGCGCATGCCAGGTGAGCGCGCTACCGCTTAAGCCACATCCTCAGCCCAAATTCAACTTTTTCTCTTTCGCCCTTCCTTCCTTCCTTCCTTCCTTCCTTCCTTCCTTCCTTCCTTCCTTCCTTCCTTCCTTCCTCTCTCTCTTTCTACGTTTAAAACTTTCCATAACCAGGGGGATGGTGACACTCCCCTGTAATCCCAGCGGCCCTGTAGGCTAACTCATCCTCAGTAAAAGCAAACCACTAAGCAACTCAGTGAGACCCTGTCTTTAAATAAAATATAAAATAGGGCTGGGGATGTGGCTCAGTGGTTGAGTGTCCCTGAGTTCCAATCCTGGTACGAACACCCCCCACCCCACCCTCCAAAAAATAATAATTCCAATATGAAAGTAGAGGGCTGGAGTTGTGCTTGGTGGCAGACTGCTTGCCTAGCATGTGTGAGGCACTGGATTTGATTCTGAACACTGCATATAAATAAATAAAACAAAGGTCTGTTGACAACTTTAAAAAAATTTAAAAAAGAAAAAGTAGAAATTGGAGTATATTCAACTGTTATGTACCTGTCACACAGTTTCCATAACAAACTCCTGGCAAATCTTGTTTTTATCCATACCCTGTACACCCAAAGCTTCACATTATTTCAGATATTCTGTCATTTCATTTATGAATATTTTAGAATGCTTATTTATTTATTTGTTTGTTTGTTTATTGCTGGAGATTGAACCCAGGGGCACTTAATCACTGAGGCACATCTCTTCTATATTTTATTTAGAGACAGGGCCTATCTAAGTTGCTTAGGGCCTTGTTAAGTTGCCAAAGCTCTTCTCCAACTTGTGATCCCCCTGGCTAGTTTTTGAAAACTAACTGTAATACAATTAGCTAAAAAAATCAATTCCTTAGTCTCCAGTCAGTGCTTTAATTTCTTTTGCTCTCATTAAATTTGTAATCTATTCAAGTCATATTTTGATTATTACTAGGATTGGGAATGAATGAGAACAAGAGTTCTGATTAAGCTTGAAGATTTTCTCCTTTTACTTTTGGAAAATATTTTAGTAAACAATCTTTTAAAATTTGTATCCTTATGATAACTTTCCTTGTTTGTTGTTGTTTCTCTGGTATTGGGGATTGAACCCATGGGCACTTAAGGCACTTAACCATTGAGCCACATGCCTATTCTTTTTATGTTTTATTGTGAGACAGGTCATATTAAGTTACTTAGGATCTCACTGAGTTGCTGAGGCTGACCTGGAACTTGCAATCCTCCTGCCTCAACCTCCCAAATAGTTGCGATTATAGCATGTGCCATCTTGCCCCTTATGATAACTTTCTAGTCATTGTTTTTTCACTGTTTCATACAAAAAGGAAATTGAAGTCTAGAGATTTAAGTGATTTGCCAAAGGTAGAGGACTAGAAAAGAATACCAGGGCCAGAACTCAGGGGTACAGAATCCAGTGTCATCATTTTTCTTCTTCTTGCTTCTCTTCCCCCTCCCTCCATTGAAATGTTATGACACTTAATGCTTTCCTTCAATCCTTTGAAATGTTTAATGTAGTCTTTCAAAGTCTTTGTTCAGTAAATTCAGCATTGGGTCCTTTGCTTTATACTGATTATTTTTTCCTTGTTTATGAATTACGGGTTTTTTTTAATGACTTGTAATACTTTAAAAAATATTTTTTTTCAGTTGTTGATAGACCTTTATTTTATTTACTTGTATGCGGTGCTGAGATTGAACTAGTGCCTCAAACATGCCAGGCAAGTGCACTAGTGCTGAGCCCCAGCCTCAACCTGTAATACTCTTTTATTGGATATTTAAATAATATAATTTGACAGTTGTAGAAATTAGATTGTTTCCTTCCTCAGGTTTGTTTTTGTTACTGTTGAAATTGCTTGTTTAGTGACTTTATTTTAGACTAATTTTATAATACCTCTATTTTTTCTTATAGCCAGTGAATTCTTTATTCTGTCAGCTAGTGATTATACAGGGATTTCCTTAATTTGCTGGAATCAGTGGATTACCTGGGCTTTGTGAAGAGGCTGTCTCTGTGTTGGAGCATACCTTTTAACATACAGCCAAACTGTTGCAGACTCTACCTTAGCTTTCACTTCCTACTTGCGCATAAGTCATAGATGTGAGCTTGGGGCCTTCCCAAGTTGTTCCTGAGCATATAGAGCCTTAGGAATGTACCTATAAACATTGGCATGGTCTTCTAGATCTGTAGAAACTTGTCAGAGCTTTACAAATGATATGTACTCCAACTTTTTCTTTCTTTCTTTTTTCTTTTAAGATACCTTTCTTTTTTTTAATATTTATTTTTTAGTTGTAGTTGGGCACAATATCTTTATTTATTTTATGTGGTGCTGAGGATCGAACCCAGGACCTCTGCTGTGCTAGGGGAGCAGTCTACCGCTCAGCCACAACCCCAGCCCCCAATTATTTCTTTTTCCTTAGTGTGTTTTGTTGTCCTCCCACCCCCAACTCAGGCAGCTTTGAAGTTAAATAATCACGTGCCTCCAGGGAAAATGTTTCTTTATTGGCCAAGTTTCAAGTCAGATCTAGATTATCAGTAGCTGTGTCTAATAATAACAGTTCCCTGGGGATAGTAGAGTTTAAGGAACTTCCAGGCCATACTGTTTTCTTCTATGCCTGTTAGATTTGAATATGAATTTTTTGTTTTTTGTTTTTTTTGGGGGGCGGGGCACTCAGGGATTGAACTCAGGGGCACTTGACCACTGAGCCACAGTCCTAGCGCTATTTTGTAGTTTCTTTAGAGAAACTAAAGTTGCTTAGCACCTTGCCATTGCTGAGGCTGGCTTTGAACTCAAGATCCTCCTGTCTCAGCCTCTTGAGCCACTGGGATTACAAATGGGTACCACCACACCCTGTGAGGTATTTGGTTTAAGGCTGCTGCAGAGCTATAGTATTGAACTAGGCAGAATTAAACTTAGAAAGCTTGTTGTTCTTATTGTGCCTTAGACATTTTCATTGAATATATACTCCCTGAATTGCTACAAGCTTTTGGTTGTCTTCTAGAATTCTGAAAACTTGATTCTTACAATTTTGGGCAATTTTCTCATTTCTTTTATACAAGAGAGAATTTTCATGGGTCATTTTTACAGAATTCCCTGCTATTTTAAATGAGAATCTTTCCACGGACATTCGCTATGATAGTATTTATGATAGCCGAAGAGTAAGAAAACAGTCTAATGCCCCCAAATCAGAAAATATTTTTAAAAAATGATTCATCTAGAGGGAATAATATGTTAATACTAACAATTTATGACATGAAAGGATACTTATGAGATACAGGTAATAAAAAGCAGAGTACAAAAATAGGGTATGTTCACATATTTAAAGATGAATTTTATAAGGAAATGAACATGTATAAACCTAAAATAAATATTTTTTAAAAAAATCTTTCTCTTTCTCTCCCTCTCTCAACTCTCTCTTTTTTTAAAAAAAGAATTATAATAGCTGTAAATGGCTATGAACTTTGATTTAACATAGTCATTTATAAATATTTGAAGGCATGGCACTGGGGATAACATAGTATAAATGAGTTGTTTTATTCTTAGGTTTGTATTCTATAGAAAGAAGCTTTGATTCTGTGTGGTGTAATTGGGTAAATTATTAGGCAGATGAATAACTTGTCTCATTTATTAGCATTTATTTTTTTTCCTTTACAGGCACATATTAAATTTCCTATTGACTACCCATATTCACCACCTACCTTCAGATTCTTGACCAAAATGTGGCACCCCAACATTTATGAGGTAAGAGATGTCCATCATATATTTCTCTGCATATTTATTTCCCATATTAATACTTTTAAAATAGCCTCTTGGGCTGGGGTTGTAGCTTAGTGGTAGAGCATGTACTTAGCATGCTTGAGGCCCTTGGTTCAATCCTTAGCAATGCATGCGCGCGCGTGCGCACGCGCGCGCGCACACACACACACACACACACACACACTGTATATCTCTGTATGTCGTGATGGTAGTGCTGGTAGCTACAGAGAAGTGTTCATGATTTTTCACTTTTAGTTAGGAGTCTCTGATTTGATTATTTTAAAATTTAGGGTAGTTTTGTAATAGCCCGTGTATATTCAAGTTAAGATTGAGGCTTAAAATCTTCCCAGCTGATTGCTAAAGATTATTATGCACATGTGTTAACATTTGCATTTTTAAAATTTAATAGATAAAGTAATACAAATTTATTTGTGTACTTATCCTCTAACTTTACAGCAAGGGTCACCTGTTGCTATGTCAGAGATTCAGCTTTTTGGGGGGATTTATCCTACTACATTTGGACTGGCCTCCTTTCAGGAGTTGCTGCTGAGCATTTGAGAGCCTCTTTTGGAATAAATCCAAGGTGAGGTTATTCTGTTGGACAAGTCAACATGCCTGCAGGAAGCACTTCTAGTTTTGTTGATTGAAACATACCTAGCTTTGGGCTAATTCATGAGGATGTTAGAATAATGCATTAGCACTTTTGAGCAGATTTATTATTTTCTACAGTCTGCTTTTTCTGTAAGATATCTTCAGTTTTCTTTGCTTTTTCACACAGGACAAACTAGTGCTGAAAGGTAATATGTAGTTTTCTTGCCAGAAATTAGCTCCCATAATATTGTTTCTTCTTTTTTAGTACTTAGCATAATCATAATTCAGTGATTCTGCTGTCCTGTGTAACAAAGTTATTCTGTTGTAGGGAAGGGTCTGTAGAAATAACTCATTGTTTCATGAATTTAAATTGAATTCAATATTCACAGAAGTATTCTGGTAGTTATCTTACTCTATTTGGGCTGCTACAACAAAGTATCTTAGACTGAGGAATTTACAACCAACAGAAATTTATTGTTCACAGTGCTTGAAACCTAGGAAGTCCAAGATCAAGCCATCAACAGATTTGGTGTCTTGTGAAGCTCTTGCAACTATAGTAACAATAACAAAACCTACACAGTATAGATAGGTTTAAGGTAGCAAGGGAAAAGTGCGGACCAGCCTTTTGTCTTGCTATCAAGAACAAAACCTTAAAGTCATATACTAATTTATTCCTATTACAGTTATCTAATTCTGAAACCTCTCTTAAAAAAGACATAAAACAAGAAAAAGGACTCAAAGTTCTAAAGAAGGTGTAGTTGTTAATTAAATTCCTTTTAGTCTTTCACAACTTAAGCTATTGACTTCTCTCAAGAGTTAGCATTAGATGGTGATATTTAAAAATACGTTTTGCCTGGCACAGTAGTGTATGCCTGTAATCTCAGTGACTCAGGAACCTGAGGCAGGAAGATTGCAAGTTTGAAGCCAGCCTCAGCACCTTAGCCAAGACCCTATTTCAAAATAAAAAATAAAAAGCTAGGGATATAACTCAGTGGTAAAGCAGCCATGAGTTCAATTCCCAGTACCAAATTTTAAAAATATGTATGTATAGAATATAATATTCATAATAATTTTTTTTCCTATAAAGTACATGCATTTCCATACCTTTTTTTTTTTTTTAATGGGATTTAAATCCTGGGCACCTTATCACTGAGCTGTATCCCAGCCCTTTTGATTTTTTTACATTTGGAGACAGTCCTGCTAAAGTGCCTAGAGCCTCACTAAGTTTTTGAGGCTGGCCTTGAACATCCTCCATCCTCCTATCTCAGCCTTCTGAGGGCTTGGGATTATAGGTATGCACCATCATGCTTGGCCAATTTTTTTTTTTAAAAAAGAGAGTGAGAGAGAGAGAGAATTTTTTTAATATTTATTTTTTAGTTTTCGGTGGACACAATATCTTTGTTTGTATGTGGTGCTGAGGATCGAACCTGGGCCGCAAGCATGCCAGGCAAGTGCGCTACCGCTTGAGCCACATCCCCAGCCCCTAATTTTTGTTTTTAATGAAGCAATAGATCATAGTTAGAAATAAAATTTGAAGCTGGATATAGTGGCACACGCCTATAATCCCAGCTATTTGGGAGGCTGAGGCAGGATTCAAGGCCAGCCTCAGTAATTTAATAGAGACTTTGTCACTTAAATTTCAACAGGGCTGGTGTAGGTACTCAGTGGTAGAGCCCCTTGGGTTCAATCCTTTACCAAAGAAAAATTTTATATATAGTCAAAAGCATCATAAGAGACTGTAATCACACGATTGGCTGTACTCTGGGAAATGATATTAGAAATATATTTTTTGAGCCAGTGTCAATATTCTACAAATCTGGGATTAATGGTTCTTGGCCAAAGGTATGCTCTTGAGTTGCTTTCTTCTTACCCATAATATTATCTCCCATGATATAAACAATGGACCTTGATATCAAATTGCTAGTCACCAAATTACATACTGCAAGGATATTTATATCTGAGGAGGGAGGGTGAAACAATTGTCAACAACAAAACAAATACAAAAGCACAATCCACCTCAAATTCTAAAATATATGAATTGATGAAGTAGTTTTTGGCAAATTAACAAACATTTAAAAATGAATATTATAAAGATTGTAATCAATAGAAAATAGATCAATTGTTACATTAAGTTTTTTTTTGGTGTGTGTATGTGTGATGCTGGGGATTGAACTCACAGCTTTTGTGTATGTGAGGCAAGCACTCTGAGAACTGACCTATATCCCCAGCCCTACATCTAGTTTTAAAAATCAGGAACTTTGGTTATAATTTATTAAACACTTCAGTTCAAAAAATTGTAAATACTACTCTTTGAATGAATTTAATTATTTAAAAATTTCCTGTATCATTACTGTGTCTTTGAAATTTATGATTAATCAAGGGAAAAAAAGAAAGGAAAGAATTTAATATGAATTTTCTATATGACTATATTGCACAATCCATTCTTCTCTGCTTTGCAGTATGTTAAGTGAGTTTTTAAAAGTAATAGTTTGCTGTTACATATTATTGTGAGTTCAAAAGTGGATGATCAGTGGGTCCCATTTGCTTCACAAACCGTATTAAAATCACGTATTCACATACATTTCACTGAAAACCTCACAGATAAGGGAACTCAAAGTCTCATAGCTCATTGTATTAAAAAAAATTTTTTAATAGTGGACTTTATTTTTCAGAGCAGTTTTTGGTTCAGTGCAAAACAGTGAAAGTATACAAAAGTATTTAATATTTAATGATCCTTTTAGTACTAGGGTGTATAAAACAGTATAGAGCTTTCCTTTAAAAATATAAAGATCTACATATTTTGGAAGTACTGTACAAATCATTTCTCCTGTATGATGCTTATAAATAAATGTCACTAACATAGTCACAAAATAAAGCTTATAATAAGATATTGTACCTCAGACTACCTGGTAATCCATATGAAAATATTTTGCTATTTTAGATTAGCCTTTAATTCTGGGAGAATGACTCTTGATTCTTTTTTTTTTTAAAGAGAGAGGTGAAAGAGAGAGAGAATTTTTGATATTTATTTTTTAGTTTCCGGCAGACACAACATCTTTGTTTGTATGTGGTGCTGAGGATCGAACCCAGGCGGCACACATGCCAGGCGAGCGCGCTACCGCTTGAGCCACGTCCCCAGCCTGACTCTTGATTCTTTACCCAGTTGACTCTAATACTAATCTCTATAGCCCCCCACACTGTAAGGGTATACTAATTTGACTATTCCAGTAGCATCCAGTGTGTGCGTGTGTGTGTGTATGTGTGTGTCTGTGTCTTTTAATATATTTATATATTTATACACAACACACACATATATACTTTTTAGTTGCAAATGGACACAATACCTTTATTGTATTTATTTATTTATTTTTATTTGGTGCTTGCCGCAGTCTGGCTGGGCACAATCAGGAGCCACTTGTCAAAAGAAACTAACTTTATTTTTAGAACCAAACACGCCAAACAAAACAGCCTCTCAGGAAAAACCCTCAGAGCCTCAACTGCCACCACCGGCTTTCCACAAGCCTCTCTCTCTCACACAAGCTTCTCTCCACCTCCCACAATCCTCCTGCTCTTGAGGCCGACTGGCTGGGTCACGTGGGCGGAGCCAAAAAAGTCCCCCAATGAGCAGCTCCGTGGTCTGAAAGGGCAGGGAAACAGCCCAATGAGCATCACCGCAGAGGAGCCAATCAGCTAGATGTTGCTGGGGCCGCTGTGAGCCAATCATCAGCCGGCAGCTGGAAGTTTGCTGGGGCCCCTTCGGCTGTGGCTCTCAACATCTCCCCCTCTCTGTTTAAACAAAAAGCATGTGGCTTAGGGACCGTGCCTGCCTTAGGTTGTCCAATAGTACATATGGTCCTTAGGTTGGTACCATTGCAATTGGATCTTACCCGTCATTGACTACCGGTCCAGTATACAGCCACACCTGTGGAGAGGTCTTTGTACCAGCGGGGGTTGAGGTTCTTTGCCTCACCTCTGTTGGCCCCCAAATTTTAGCTGGACAATCATAACAAGCAGAAGGGAGGAAGATACACCAAGCCAATTGACGGCTCCTTTTGGAAAAATTGTACCACCGATGACATCATCAGCAAAAATACCCCAACACTACCACAAGTCGCTGCACCAACAGATAGTTCACAATGCATACAGGTGAGTTCACAATGTGTCCAGGCAAGTTCTGCAAGCAGTTCAGTGATGGCTATTGTAGAAGCTGTAGATTGGTTTTATCTTTGACTTCACCAGCACTGGGATGAAGATAGGAATTCTGGCAATAATGGCTAAAGAAAAAATTATGTAACATTACAGAAGGCACTAAAAGAAAACAATTTTCTTAACAATTTACATTGTCTTTAAGAGAATTATTAAATATAATGAAAAGGAAAGGTGAAAGTAAACAA